GCGTATTATTTGCCCCCTAACACCTCTCCTGATGAACTTAGCTAATGCGTTCTTGCTATTGAAAATACTACTTGCGCTCTAGACAAATGCCACTTTATGCTTCTTGGTGACTTCAATCCTAAGATATGCTGGGAAACAGCCACAGCGTGTTCCAGTAATTACAACCTTACCCAGAAATCTACTGTCTCTCTTAACGTTGAATAGTTTACGAACTTCAAAGCAATGAAATAGTATCCCAAATTTCCAGGGAAACAAGCTCGGTTTGCGCCTCTTGAATTAAGATTTTATAGATATAACTGAGTGCGCCTCAAGTTTAGTCTCGCCTGACGGACGCACCCCCCCCCCCCCCCGCCCTCCTTTATATCGTGGTACCTCTCCGAGAAGGCCTGTTTACCATCCGATCGAAGGAGTATTTCTTGTGAAGGATCTTGGAGTGTTCATTGATTATGCTTCAACATTAAAAAATCATGTTTATTTTGAACTGGGTAGTGTAATGCGAGTGTGGGGAATCATAACGCATTTGACGAAGCATTTTATAAAGCCCCATTGCTTGATACAACTTTTTAATTCTTCAGTTATTTCAAGACTTGAATTTGCGTCTGGGGTTTGAAATTAATTATCGCTGACTTAGGCTTTAGCTTTTGCCCATCTGCAGAAAAGACATTCTCGAATTATTTACGACAGATAGTTTTGACGGCGCGACCATTATAATTACAAACAATTTACTAACACAATTTTTGTTGAGATTTCTATCGAACAGAATGACTGCGCGGGATTTAGTATTTATGAACAGGATTGTGACTGGTTTAGTTTATTTCTCTCAGCTTCTTAGCTGAGTTAATTTGAACGTTCTATTCGCCCTAAAAGGCCTTTCATTTGTTTCGATGTTCGTTCATCCTTTGTACCTTCACCACACTCTTGTATAGAGACGCCACACATCAGCATTGTGCCATTTCGCACCGACATTTGCACTCCTATTTTCAGGTATCGCCATCAGCTAAATGACTTTGTGCTAACATCATATCTTTTTTTTGTTGCAGTTCTGTTTATTACTGGGTTTCTGTGAAAATATTCAAGGTTGCGTTGCTTTTTCTGCTTTGTGCTTGCGTTGATGCCCCCAATAGACGGCCTTCTGGTCGCGTTTGGGGGCACCAAAAAAATTATTATCATCATGATTATTTTGATGTGAATAGTCACCATTTTCCGCTAAAGATTATGTTGGTCTGTGCAACAATTTTGCTGATTGCGATTCGTCATCGATCATTTGGTGCACTGATATTGATCAGCAGTTTCGTGATTTCCCTCGCATCGTTCGAGAGGGGATGTACCAGTTCAACCCATTAAATAAACCACAGGTTCTAGGTTTGTCGTTTTTTATTTACACATGAATTGCGCAACTTAATGAATAAGAGGCTGCATGCGCATAAAAAACTCAAAAATAACGATCTCTCTAGATAAATAATCACAATTTCCGCGCTTCAGGTCTCTCTGGAAGAAAATCATGAAGCGTGATCATCAGATGGTCGTTAATTCCGTTGAATTGCATTTAACTCAAAATCCTAACGAGTTTTCGAAATATGTTCGCTTTCGACCCCAGACGAAAGGTATGAAGGAGATCACATTCTTGAACTCACCAGGAAACTTGCCCATAAATATGTGCCTACCACTACCAATCCGTATTTAGGCGTGACCCGAAATCTCTCTCAATATTTCCCCACCAGCCGCCTTTCGTAATGCAACTTGCACTGCGTTTCATATGAAGAGCTATTACATGAATGTGTAATGAGGATCAAGCCGCCTTGGTCATTTGCTCACGGTGGCATTCTGTCAGACGTATTGAAGGACTATAGTGCAGTGCTCATCACTGTCCTCGTACTCATTTTTATAATGGTATAAAAACTGACGTTTTCTACGTCGGGTGGGAAACAGCACATGTCGTACCGGTACATAAATCTAGTTCCAAAACAAACGTTTCAGACTACAGACCTACAGTAGTGAACAAAAAGATATGATATTTCGGTTCTACGTGGGTAATGTTTCTTCGAACTTTGATACAGATATAACAACCGACCCCTGGTGGCTAAACAACCGACCCCTGGTGGCTAAAAAGGCTGCATTATGGTGTGCCATGATATCTAAAAAAAAATATTACTGGCTATTCACTAGACGTCCAGCAATACTTCTGTAAAAGAAACGAAATATCATATCTTTTTGTTCACTACTGTATATCGCTTCTTTTTTTGCAGATTCGCGACTGTTCAAAATAGTATTGCACAAAATAGTGCCGTTTCTGCTCATAAATTACTTTGTCCCTAGCAAACCTGTCTTTATGGCGTGCCGCTCGACCACAACTAATCTCACATTTTTCATTTCAACAGCTGCTCATGTCGTCTTTAATAGAGGCCAATATGACGTGACCTGCTTTAACTTAAGTAGAGCGTTTGACCTTTTAAATTCTGAGATATTGCCAGCGAAGCGGTCAAAACTAGATGTTCAGAATTCGTTACTTTCTTAGCACAAAGGTCACTTGCGTGATAAAAAGTGTTTTGTTAGCTCGAATTGTAATTATTCTGCTACTTACCAGGCTACACCTGAGGTACCTCGATCATCTGTTTTCGATATCCTTCTGTTTTAAGTTTTTGTCAATCATATCTCAACTGCGATTCACCACTCGTCTTTCCTAGGGTAGGCAGATTATACCAAGATGTTTATAGAGGTACGAGACGAACGCGACCATATCTTCCTACAGAATGATATAAATGCTTCCAAAAAATGGGGCACCCATAAAGGCTTAAAGCGAAATAGGTTAAAAACGAAAGTCGTGTCGTACACTCGAGAGACACATAAAGCTATATCTTTTTATCACATTGACTCAGATCTTTTGGCAGGTGTGAACGAAATCAAAGATCTTGGAGTGGTATATGGACAGTACATTACGTGTCTTCAGTCATTATAATGGAATTGTAAGTGCGGCTTTACGCAGGCTAGGTAAATAGTCCTTGCACATTTCTCCCACTCTACAGTGCCTTGTATCGACCGCACCTCGAATATAAGTTTGCTGCTTCGAATAGAATTCGTTCGACTAATTCCAATGGGATCGAACTTGTTCAGAACAAGTTGTTTTCTCTTTCTACGGACATCGCTACGGACCGGGCAACGCGTCTAGTACAGTCGATGACTTAGGCCGTGTTCCAAAATTTACTCGATCTTACTCCAGGGTAGGGGATTTGTACCTTGGCGTTCCAAAACCTACCCGCGCCCAGCGCTTTTCAATCAGTGTTGTCACGTGACACGACCCGCCAAGTAACTCGGATCCCTTTGGGTAAGATTTGGAATACAACCCTAGCCGTCCCAGTTCAATGTAGCTTGACGCTTCCTACTCTCCGGCTTAGGAGAGAATAATCTATTCAATTTCTATACAAACTTATCTACGGCGTCACTGACTGCACTGCATTCGTGTCTAAAGCACATTTGAAAATTCTTCTAAGAACGACGAGACGAAATACATCATTCTACAATGCGCGTCTAATTAATAATAATGATCCCATGTCGAGCATTGGACGAACCTATAATTTCTCATTTTCAGACACCTTTGCTTAAATTTAACAGTAATGCACCGGAGTTAAAGCACTAAACCTTCACACCTTAACTTATTTTACTGTTTCCTGCACTATTTCGTGTTGTTCATAGGCAAATTCTATACTCTGGGTTCCTTTTCCCCTCTACCTAAAAATTGGTCGTGGCCGTAGCACCGCCGGGCTTTTATGCATGACATGTGTGTGTCTTTTAATAGGCTTTTATTCGCTCATGTGAGCTGATTTTTGTAGTTTTATACAAAATATATTGATTCAGTGCACCCACATTAACTGATTGATGTCGTGATTGGTTGATTTATTGATGGATTGATTGATATATCCTTATTATATTTCACCCTAACTTACTAACAGGAACGAAAAATTACAAAGCGAACGTAAACTCGTGGCGGTATCTCTCAGATGCGAACGTTTTCGAGCTTTGCCTCAAGATCTTCCAATACCAGGGCGCTATATCAATAAGAAAGCTATCAAATTTTCTTTGTAAAGAATTTCGTGAAATTAGGAGCACACTGTTTTATAAAAGAAAGTATTTGTATGATAGAACGCGATCTGAACAGGGTCGATATAGGATTTCCTTATTTTCCTAAATACTCAAATGACATTCACATTTTCGCAAATGCATTCAAATCAGACCTCGGCGACGTTAAGGAGGCCTGCGAGATAGGAATCGTTGACATTCTAAACACACGAAAAAAATTGTAGGATGAATTCCCAGCGAACGACTTTGTTCGGTTTAACTCTGAATTTCCTGAATCAATGGCCTCAACGCTAAAATCTCGCAGCAGCTTTTGTTGCAGTGTTCTTTACAATACGCACACCGAAGAACATATGATTTTTAATAATAATATCACAAAGTTCAGCATATGACAAATGACAAATGAGCACCTCCAGGGAGTTCTACCACTCGCAGTTACCCTAAATGTAAATGTTTACATCATGGCAATCAACATGAAACATCACAATTCCTGCTGAGAGTGAAAGGGAGCTAGAGACATCTTAGGTTACGTGAGCCTAAAGAAAGAAAAAAATGTTCACGTCACTTTGATCTTGGGACAATTTCTTTTCCCGATTAACCCCCTTCCTCTTCCCCAGTTTTCAATCCAGCCCGCTCGATCTCCGATTTGCGCCTAATCGGCTCGCTGCAGACAAAGGTTACCTACCCTTGTGTTATGCATGCCTTAGTCTAACACAAAATAAATAGAAAAAAAATATATACTTTGGTGTAATAAATGTACAAAATACCGAGCTACTGTTTTCAAGGCATTGCTACGTACTCCCGAACAAAGAAAACAACATCTATTTTGAGTAATTACACTTTTTCGAGCTTAGGCATCACTTCAGCCCCATGGATCTCAGAGCTGTTACTTTAATTTATAGGGAACACGTCAAATAAATAATACTTACCTGCTTTTAACTTGATTCCGTAAGGTGCATTTCCATCCCTCATTAAGAGTTCGCCATCTATTGTGATTTCATCTCCCCTATAAACAAAACAAGAAAAAAACACGAGCCAATAGAAGTTGAAAGTAAACAAATCTAAACGCGTGGGCAAGTTTGTTAATTTTATTTCGTAAAAAATTGTTTTTCAAACACGCAAGTAAACTATAGACAAAATCAACCCTTTGGCGTCTGGTCACCGCGGCGGCGCTGCTGTCGGCGATGCGCATGCGCAGATGAATTATCTCACGCGAATTTAGTCTTTGCGCACGCGCAATGCCCACACATGGTGTAGAATTGAAAGCAATGTGTGCGCGTATAACGCGGAACTCGTTGAACCTCCCCTTCTTCAACTCTTTTTCGTGTTTGGATGCTCCTAAAATTAACGAGATCGTTGTCATTTATGGGGCATTTGTATGTCAATATTTCTCCTCGCGTATTCGAAATTATTAGCTTAATACAAGCATAAATGCCGTGAGAATTAAAAAAATTAATCCAGAAAAGTAGGTGCTCGTCTTGCAACTACTTAATAAATGTAATAAGGAGTACGGTGTGCAGTGAATTATATTCTGTAAGAATCTATGAAATAAATTTATAAAACCTTTTAGCGCGCACATTTTCTGTTTTTACGCTTATTTGGCTTATTAAAACCATTCAAAATATATATTATAATATTTACTTGAGCATCTAAGTGTACTCACCTATTACCACTTGTGAATATTGATGACATCCTAAACGAGAAAAACACACGGTTATCATGGAACAAGCTCTTGATAGAATTTTACGTATGACTTCCAGTTTTAATGAACATTTCGTATGCCTCGTATTTGTTCACAGCAACAAATCTAGTGAGGCTGTGTCTTTAATACAGAGGCTATACCTCCTGCAACGCAAGACCTCATGCTTTCTACTCAAAGCTTCAAGGGGCACTGACACATCAAAATCATCTTTTCTTTATTATCCGAAGCGATTCAAAACTATACCGGGACATTACCCTCAAAATAAACTTGGGAATTCAGTATTTTGTGAAGTAAAAAAACAATTTCCAAATTGCCAAATTTGAAGTTACCAGCGATCCGCGCCAGCGCAGTGACGTAGAATTTTGCGGTCTCCTGTGAGTCAACCTTCTTTCTCACCTCCTCTCCAAACCAGCGCAACCTGAAGCGAGGTGGTCAGGAGCGGGAGAGAAAGGCGCCGGCGGACCGGGAAAAACCGGTTTCTTTGTCCGTTTCCCCGACTCACCAATCATCCTCTGCTCGAGCGCTACCAACTTTTCCAAGGGAGGATACAAAACCAGGAGGCGACATCACACCGGCCTCTGATTTTTGGCATTTCAAAAAGAAGGGCCTTATTGCGTTCGCAATTGCGTTAGAAAAACATGTTTAACGATTACCGTTATTGAATGTTATAAAAATGTCGTCTATAAAGCTTCTAAATTTAATGATTTTTGACGTCACCAATCAAAATAAGTGAGGAGGTGAGGAGCGTGAGAGAAAAACGCCAAAAATAAAAAGGCGCGCGCGCGCGTAATGAAACTGTTTTTCGCGATGTTTTTTTTTTTTTTTTTGCGTGTTTATTACTTTAACTTGCATCGTTTTGAATAGTAAACAAATACGAACTTTGGGGTGTCAGTGCCCTTTAAAGGCCCATAAAGGCTAAACCTGTTTTTGAACCTGCTTAGACGGCCTTCTGTTTGGTCCTTTACTGCGTACGATTATTCGATCAGCTCGAAAGAGCTGGCGATGTAAACTGCCTGGAAAGATTGCTATTCTAGCCACTAGCTTCAGTTGAGTTCAATTGTGCCTCCAATACTCTTTCTTTGTATATATAACCTTAAAATAAGTTAAATAAATTACAAAATAATTTGCATTGAAACATACATTCATTCATGAAAAAACTGGCGCTTAAAATACACCCTTTCAAAGACATATGACTCCGCCACAAATAAAGCCCGCCCATCAAATTGCCCCTTGCGCTAGCTCTATTTACAAAATATACGAATTTAGATTGTATAGATTCATTGTTTTTTATCATATGTTTACTGAGTTGTCGAGGACAACGGTGCATTAAACAGAACTACAACTTGCGACTTCTCAAGCCACATCGTAATCTTCAACGGGATTCACCGAAACAGGGTACTAGATACTGTTAAAACATACGTCTATACCTAATAAACAATTATAAAAAATAAAAATAACGTAAAAATAACCATTCATATCACTATCGCGTTGACGCGTGATTTGAAAAGGCTATCTCATTTTTATGTAAACTAACCGACATTTGACTGACGCATGTTGCGCCTTCCTTTCCCATCTCAAAGGCTTCCAGCAGTTGTCTTGCAGTCTTATCCACCACATTCCCCCAGAATCGTGGATACAGTCAAAGTGTGGCTTATATTTGTAAACCACACAGTGTAAAGATGTGTGCCCTCCCACAGTTCATCCCAGCGGTAACGCGTGCTCGCGCACTCAGTCGATGACACAACGACCCATCTGAACGGGATTCGATACACCCCTTTCCCCCCGTGGTCTATCGAATACCGTGGGCGTTATGTATCAAATACTGTTGAGTTGTGGTAGAGCATACACTTGACAGACGGGCCATTGCGTCATAGACCGAACGCGCGAGCACGCGTTGTCGCTGAGACCAACAGTAGAAGGGTTACCTACATTTACACTGTGTGACTTACATGTGTAAGCCAAACTTTTACTTCATCACGATTCTGGGGAACTCGGTTGAGAAAACTGAGAACTGCTGGATTAGTTTGAGATAGAAAAGAAAAATTCAACTTGCGTCAGTCGAACTGCGGTTTGTTTACATAAGAACGAAGTAGCCGTTTCAAAGCACGCGTCAGCGCGATAGATTTGCGGATAAGTAGTTTTATGTTTTTCCTTCTTTTTATTAAATAAATAGTTTATAGTCGACCACTTATCCCGTCTACACCTTCATTGTATTTGTTATTTGTGCGTTGCTTATAGTTACATTGTCACGAGTGACGAATGATGGAGCGGTCGAGAACTAAAAAAACTAAAGTTTAATGGCCAACTTGTGCCACTAAACGCAACAGGGAAATAACAGAAAAAATAACAGGGCGTCGCGGGCGTCGGCGAGGTCGCTTGCTCGAGCGCTTGCAAAAGGCTGACACCGGTTCGACACACGGAGCTTCTTATGTACTCGCGTGGGCTTACGGAACAATCGGCGTAGAAGGTTCGGTGCGTGGAAGGTTCCTACTTCGAATAAACAACCGAATTCCCGAATACTCCAGACCCCGACTTAGAGAAATAACAGAAGGGGCGTCCGCTCCCAGGAACCAAACATCGGTCCTTTGCGTGGAAGCCAAGCAAAACAACCATTCGGCCACGGGCGCGCACTGCCGCGTGCCCGTGGTTGCTGCCCTCGCGAGCGGCATGCCAACTTTTAAAGTTCATCACTCAGATGCATTGCAAAAACTAAATGAAGCAAAACAAAAAGGAACAATCCACTGAAGAGTAACCTCGAAGACGAAACGTCTGCTATCCTATCGAGCATAGAAGGGCTTGAGACGAACGACGTGAACCACCTCGGGTAGCCGTCGGCGTCATGATGATGCATGCGTTTTTTTTTTGTTTTTTGGACAGCACTTCGTAGTTGATATTTTTCAGGCGCCGACGGAACTTGTATACTCCAAAGTAGCGCTTTAAAAGCTTCTCACTGAGGCCACGACGTCGTATCGGTGTTCACACCCCGGTTTCCGGGCTGGAAGTGAACGTCCGGACGACGAAGGATTTAGCGGGCTGGTTTTGGTTTCGGACTCGGGCGGGCTGGCGGACTTCTGTTTGTTGCGCAACTACCTGGGCGTCGTCACTTCCGTCACCAGCTGGCTCGTGAGGTAGCATGGCGTCAAGCATCGGCGTCACCTTGCGACTACGCACCAGATGGAATGGTGTAACACCGGGGGTCTCTTGAACGGCTATGTTGTAGACGAACGTGATATACGGGAGGATCTCGGCACTCCACGTCTGCATACATCAAATCATGTCGGCGATGGTCTTGTTTACGCGCTCCGTCATTCCATTAGTATGACGACGGTAGGGTGCCGTTTACCGGTGGTTGGTATGGCTGGGATGAAAGATCTTTTGCATCAGGTGTGCCATGAACAATGACCCGCTATCTGTAATTAGAACTTTGCGAATGCCGTGCCGGAGCCCGGTGGACTCGATGAACAACTTGGCAACTTCCACAGCAGGCCCTGAAGGAACAGCTTTTGTTTCGGCGTACCGCGTGAGACAATCCGTGGTGACGATTACCCAGCCGTTTCCCGACGTTGACGGTGGAATAGGGCCAAGTAAATCCATTCTGATCTGCTAAAACGGCATGAACGGGGGGCAATCGAATGCATAAGTCGACCGCTTCGTCGGTGGTTTCTTGCGTCGCTGACACTCATGGCACGATCGAGTGTAGAGGTGAACGGTCTTGGGAGCCTCGGTCAGTAGTACGTTTCACGAATCCTGGCAAGCGTGCTGCTGCAGCCAAGGTGCCCAGCCGTCGGATCATCATAGCAGGCTGGGAAGATTTCTTCCCTGAGTCTGCTAGGTATTACTGGTAGCCATGCCAGGTTGCTGATCCGGAAGTGTTTAATGCGAAAGCATTATTTGTCTCATGGAGCGAGCCGACGTCCTCAGCTTTGAAACCGCGCCAAACGGCAACTTAAATCCTTTCTCCAATCGAAGCTAGCTCCCAGCTATACAACCACGCGCAAAGCTAACCAACAACACCAAAATTACCCGATCCTGAAGCAGCGGAGTAAAGCTGATGAATTTTCGGCTTCAGTTCCATTGACTGGCTCGCGTCGACGAGGCTTCCTTTGGCCGGGCACGCACTGCCATGGGGTCGTTGAAACGGACGCTGCGCGTCTGTTTCAACGACCGGCCACCCCATGGCGTTGCCCAACATGAAACGTCCAAGGTAACAGCCCTTGCCAGCAGAGCGGCGCGGAGGAAGGATGTACATGCTTTCGCATTCAGAGCTCATAAGAAGTGCTTAGGTGTACCTCGAGCCTTTTGTTTAGAGAACACCCAGTCAGATGGCGAAGCTTGACAAGCCTTGGAGAAAAACGCAGGGTACGGCACTTCCTTGGCCTTCCGGGTGCTGAACCATGACACGGAGTTCGCAGTCGTCACGCCAAATGCCTGCCATGTCGGCTGCCTCGACTGGGCCCAGGAAACCTTCAATCTCCTCGTTGTCAGTTCTGGCAGGTGGTGACTCGACGGGAGCTCTCGAGAGACAGTCGGACGGGGGCTCTCGACAGGCAGTCATTTGAAACTCTTGCATTCGGAGACTCCAGCGAGCAAGGCGTCCAGGGGATCCTTTAGGTTCGCGAGTCAGCAGAGCTAGTGGTGATCTGTGATTACGCGGAATAGACTACCCTAAATGTACGGGCGAAACTTCGTTATCGCCCAGACAACGACAAAGGCACGCTTTTTCTGCCGTTGAGAAGTTTCCCTCCGTCTTAGAAAGCGACCGACTTGAGTAAGCGATTACTCGACTTGTGCCCTCCTGCCCTTGGACCAGTCCGGTATTACTTGCGTCGGTGTGGATTTCCGTTTCTGCGAACTGGTCGAAAGGACCGAGGACCGGTGGCGTCTGGAGTAGCTGCTTAAGCTCGTCGAATGCCCGCTGTTGTTCTTCCGATTGGAACTTCACAGCTTCCTTTTTGAGATGCGTGAGCGACGCAGAAAGCTTGGCGAAACCTTAAGCGAAGCGTCTATATTAGGCACATCAACCCATGGCTCTCCTAACGGCCTTATTGTCCGGTGGCGACGAAAATGTGGTTAAGGCCCGCATTTTCTTGGGGTCAGAACGAACACCTTCGTTGTTCATGGCGTGGCCTAAGAACTTCAGTTCGTCATAGGCAAAACGGAATTTTGTCGACTTTAGTGTGAATTTAGTGTGAATCCAGTAGTCTTGATCGCTTGTAGTGCTGCTCGGAGGCGTCTCAGGTGCTCGTCGAAATCTCGTGAAAACACAACAATGTCGTCTATGTAGACAAGGCAGCTACGCCATTTCAGACATGCTAGCATGGTGTCCATGACACGCTGAAAGGCTGCGGGCGCCGTGCAAAGTCTAAATGGCATCACTTTAAGCGCTTACAACCCGTCGGGCGTGACGAAGGCCCTCTTCTCATGAAAATTAAAAAGCACAAAAGACAAGGACAAGAGGGAGACAACACAGGACAAGCGCTTACTCGCAACTGACGTTTTAATTCGGAAGATGAGGAAGATGAAGAACCCTAACGTTAAATGTTAGAAATATTTATGAGAAAGGGGTGAAAGGATCTGAAAAGACTGAAAATTGAAAAAGAAAAAAGAAAAAAAAGAAATGTGTAAAACCAATATTAAATGGTGGGCATGATTAAAGTAACTGTGAAAGAAATGACAGTGAGTATATTAAGAAAAAGAAAGAGGAAGGTAAAGCAAATTAAGAATATCTAAGGAAAATATTTCATGTACTCTAATTCTTTTGATGATAAAGTCACCGAAGGAGCACTGATGCAGGCCTTTCCTCTGGTCGCAATCACTTCAGCCTCAAGAATTTCTCGAGTTCGCTTATCTGGACACCTCTTCAGGATCCTTGTGCTGGACAGTAGCGGGGCGCATCTACAGTCCCTCACACGTAGAGCGAGATGCCCCGACGGAGAGGATTTTAAAGATAGCGCATGTTCTCTAAGCCTTACGTTGATGCATCTTCCCGACTGTCCTACATATATCTTCCCACAGGTGAACGGGATCAAATACACTACCGCGCTGCAACAGTTGACGTATTTGTTGCCTTGCATGACACTGCATATGTCAGGCTTTGTGCGCGGGGTGTTGACTTTGGCGCAGAGCTTTTTAAGCTTGTTGGGGGCTGAAAACACAACCGGCACTTCGTATTTAAAGGCTATTCTCTTGAAGTTGTGAGAGATGCGGTGTGTAGGACAGTCGGGAAGATGCATCAACGTAAGGCTTAGAGAACATGCGCTATCTTTAAAATCCTCTCCGTCGGGGCATCTCGCTCTACGTGTGAGGGACTGTAGATGCGCCCCGCTACTGTCCAGCACAAGGATCCTGAAGAGGTAACCAGATAAGCGAACTCGAGAAATTCTTGAGGCTGAAGTGATTGCGACCAAAGGAAACGCCTGCATCAGTGCTCCTTCGGCGACTTTGTCATCAAAAGAATTAGAGTACATGAAATATTTTCCTTAGATATTCTTAATTTGCTTTACTTTCCTCTTTCTTTTTCTTAATATACTCACTCATTTCTTTCACTGTTACTTTAATCATGCCCACCATTTCCTATTGGTTTTACACATTTTTTTTTTCTTTTTCAATTCTCAATCTTTTCAGATCCTTTCACTCCTTTCTCATAAATATTTCTAACATTTAACGTTAGGGTTCTTCATCTTCCTATCTTCCGAATTAAAACGTCAGTTGCGAGTAAGCGCTTGTCCTGTGTTGTCTCCCTCTTGTCCTTGTCTTTTGCGCTTTTTAATTTTCGTAATGTTTAACCAACTAGGCCAACAAATCATTTTTCCTCTTCTCATGGCCTCGTTAATCCTTTCGATCTGACAAAAGTCACTCTTCAGGTCCATCGACGAAAAATATCAGATGTGGCGCAACCGGTCCAGGGTGTCGTCGACTCGGGGCATCGGGTAGACGTCTTCCTCCATCACGGCGTTCATCTTTCCTTACCAGGACGGCTGGTAACGCGCACGAACTACTTGAAGGCTGAATAATGCCGTCATTGAGCATTTCTTGTGCTTGTTCTTGGATTACCTTCTTTCTTCTATGGAGACTCGGTACGGCGAATAGCGCACAGGGAGCGCGTCGTCGTCGGTAACAGCGAGGTGCTTCGCAACCGTTGTTTGTAGCGCCCTTGAAGAGGTGGCAGAGGACTCAGTGAACTCGCCGCGGAGTTCAAGGATGCGCCGTCGCTCTGTTGCAGGATGTTTCAGAACGATGCCCAATTCTGACAGCGGCGTTCTCTGCGCCGGCGATGAATTCGATTCCTCCGAAAGTGAAGTGATGGCGACTGAGTCCTGAATTCCCTCTACGTGGCCCATGGCGGTACCTTTCGTAAGGAGCTGTGGTTCTTATCAGGTGTTTGTAATGAGGACTGTGGCGCGCCCGTCTCCAACTCTGTTAAACCCCCTGCGACTCCGAGCCCCCTTCCTAGATTCTACTGGACGCTACCCTCAAGCAGAACGTCGACGCAGGAAGCTTTATTGGTCCCGACAAGGACAAAAACACTTGACCGCAGAGTCAGGTTTACAAGGTCGGCAACGTCACGGACCATGGATGACGTCGTTTTCGTTTCCTCCGGTGGTGGGACAGGTATTTGTATATTCAGCCTGTTCGCTCCCAGATCAATGACAACGGCACTCACAAGAAGACCAATCCAAAGATAACGACCCCCGCACAGTCCTCAAGAGCGGCGATCTTAACTGACAGGTTCGCCCTGAATATCGACGCGAGCGGTGCATGCATCGACAAGTGTGACGGGTTTACTCCAGCTGTTCGTATATGTGGGCCATCTCATAGAGTCGTAACCTCTCGAAAGCACCGAAAGATTTTTGTTGAGAACCGAGTAGTCTGCTCCGGTGTCGATGAGTGCCGTCGCGTCGTGGCCATCGATAACTATGTTGAGGTTGTTCGGCACCGTCGCAGAGGCGTTCCTCCGTGGCCTATCGTCGTTAGAGTGGGAGACCTACAATGTTTGGGGAGGATCTTTACTTCGTCGATGAACGGCAACTCCACCTCCCGGAGTTGTCGCGCTTAGTTTTCCCGGCTTGGTATGGGCGACAGGCTTTATCGGCGGGAACGGTGAAGTGTTTACTTTCGACGTCGCGGGGACGGCGAAAGAAATCCTTGGGGAGCAGCCGACATCGGGGACGGCGATCGGAGCCGGTACTTGTCGACGTCTCTCGGCCGCTCACCAAGGCGGGGCCGAGGATCATTCGGCACAAACCATCGGAGGGCCACCTGGCGGAAGCTGCACCGTCGGTTTAAGTGGCCGGCCTGTCCGCAATGGTAGCAAAAAGGGCGACGGTCGGCGATTCCCCGCACGTCGGTCTTCCAGGGTGCACGAGACTTCTGGTGGGCGGATGGCACTTGCTCGTCATGGCGTCGGGGCTAATGCTCCGCTCCCATGCATCGAACCTCGGTCCTTGGCATGGGAGCCAAGCACGATAACCATTCGGCCACGGGCATGCTGCGTACTTGTATAGCTGCGCGCACGGCATTATCATCAACAGTCTCACCTGCATCCCCACTTTAAAACATTAAACAGAAGTATATATCCATCAATCGTAGAGAAATGCAAATAACTGATTTTTCTTTTGCAACACTTTGTTTTGTGAAATGAAAAATTTTGCTTATAACTGACTTTGCCATGCCCGGTTCTCTCATCATAAATTGACGTATCTTTCTTGATGACCGCACTCCTTTACTTGTTATCTTCGGTCGCACATTTTTTAAATATGCATTTTCACGACTACTGCCAACGCAATTTCGTCTCAGCAAACCGTGCTTTAATGGTTACTCTATAATAAAAGTGACCGTTTGGCATCCTCTGTAACGTGGCGATGCCACCTACTGATATGACAACCATTTAAAGAATGCAAATGTAACCTGCATGTTGTGATCTATGGTTGTTTAAATCATTGTAAACATATTATCAACCAAATTTTTGTAGCAGGTATTTTCCACGCGAGCTATTCATAATCGTCGGAATCGAATACTCAATGACAAAAAAACGTCCTTTATCTTCTAGTCATATGTTGCACCGCTGAAATAAAAATTCTGTCACCTAAAAATGTGTACAATATGCTCACGTGGTTCGTTCACCCAGAAGCCTGACGGCGACGCTCTGTTCTTCACCTTTGTCCAAGTAGTGGAACCTGACGCATTTCACCATGTACTCGACGATGAAAGGCGTTCGAAAGATTTCAAACCAGGTTCCCATGAACTGCACCGGAAAGACATGTTTTGCCAGCGTTATCCTCAAAGATATGACAAGTCCCCATATTCAACACGGAATCCTTATCCGGCACCTTCCACAATATATACCACTGTAATATGTGTCACTCAATGTGCTTGCAACCAGACATGTACCTAACGTGTTACTAGTAACGAGTTACTTCTACCTTGTTATTTTTTTCGTTGACTGGTGCATTTTTCGAAAAGGAACATGTAACGTACTTAGTTACTCTTAAGGCCAAGTAGCGAGTAATTCTAACTTGAGTATGCGTCGATTATAAAAAAAAGGCAGATGGACAACCCGAAAAGAAGCTAAACAGTATGACAGTATTGCAACGTTTATCGCTGAACAGGTAAGTTGAAGTCTACAGGTTGGAATGTCCTTCACCCAGCGAACAAAATAAGGTTTGTTGGTTGAACCTTTCAATATTGTGTGCAGACCGAATGTAAACCCAGTGGCTGGCAACACAGGAAGGCACAGAACCCCTTGTCAGCTTCGAACTTTAGAAGCGTGCAGAACAAAAGAGAGAGGGGGATCCCAGATTCACCAGCTCTTCCTAAAGCACAACACTGCCGTACCTTCGAGCGCGTCACGAGAACGACTCTTCAGCGTAGCCGTAGATGCATTTTTAAGGAAGCGGGAAAACATAACTGATAAAAACTTCGAGTTATAGCTACTGCTTAAGTGCAAGAAGTGCTGAAAACAAAACAATACACAATAAAACAAAATAAGTTGCATTTTTGGTCGTCAAAGTAACGAGAAATATAAGCTACTTTTTAGGTAAAGTAGTGCGTTCCTTTTGAGAATCGGTAACGAGTAACATATTAAGGTACGTTTTGAGCGAGATATGAGTAAAGTTATCTGGTTACTTTTTGGGTGACGTGTAAATGTCTGCTTCCAACCACTTGTGGTCGATACTACAAACGCGTCTTGGAACAATCGCAAATTGAACGAGCAGAGCAAAATTTCATGGCACAAAACAGTCAGCAAACTTAGAGTGATGTTCTTATGAGCTGCTCTTTAAAGTAGAGGATATATGAAGTCATGTGTTACTTGACCGTGCTGAAATATGAAAAACTACTTTTTACACCATCCCAAGAATTTCATAAAGAATGTAGATATAGCATCAAGGTCCCCCTCCCTCCTCCCCCCTTTCAAATATTTGGATTTAGGCTTAACAGCTGAAGTAACGTGTTCACTAACAGTACTTAGGCGCTTTTAAGATTTAGTATTTAATGTGCCTTATTGTGCGGAGAAGTATTTCTGAAACTTTTCTGAAATGTTCAAATGCTTCAAACATATATTTATTTATTTACAATCAGGTGTCATCCACGTGTATAATCATGATCCCTTACAATCATTTCGCAGCATATGCTATGCCTTGCGAAAAAAATAGTACAATCCCACCTCGTCATTAAAATGCAAGAAACACGAATAAATAAATAAATATCAACCAATAACATAGATACTGCTTCACTGCGAAAAACTAGGTAGTGGCTAGGATATAGGCGTTAATATTATGAATCATGCGAATTGTTTTTCAACCGCCAATCCCCACAATTTCTTTATGAAATCGCATGCCCATTCATGTCCTATATTTCTCAGCTCCGCGGTACCCGATAAGCGACTGGAATACAGGTAAAACGCTTGAGGGTTGGTTCAAAAAGGATGAAAGCAACTTTAAAGCGCAGCTCGAATGCCCGTCTCCCACTAGAGCGACAGACAGAGAAAAATGACAAGGACAAGCCTCAAACCCATGCACCATGCTCGCGATGGTACCTTTGACAGGCGTTTAGTCGTTCGGTGCTCGTGAAGTAAGCACAAGCGATTGCAAGCCTGCCAAAAATACCCTCGCGTGCATGATGCTCGTGTTTGAGCATAGCCTCCTTCATTCTACGAAGCCTCTCAATCGCGAAAGACTCTGGTCTCAGGCTTTTCGTTGTCTTTTGTTTCTGTATGTCGCTCTAGTGGTACAAGGGCATTAGGTTTCCGTTCCCGCCGTAAGCGGCGTCGACGTCACCCTCCCCGTCGGCGACGCCGTCGGTGATGCCCTCGGCGTAACCGTGAGGTCACGCGACCTTGGTGACATCACGTGACCACCATGAGGTCATATGACTCTCCGTGAGGTCACGTGACCACGGTGACATCACGTGAGCCCAATGACGTCACGTGACCCCTGTGAGGCCACGTGACCCCCGTGAAGTCACGTGAGCCCCGTGAGGTCTCATTATCCGGGTGACGTCACGTGATTCTCGTGAGGTCACGTGACTCCCGTGAGGTCACGAGCGTCACGCGACATCACGAGGGTGACTAGACTTCACGGTTACGCCGAAGGCGACGGCGACGCCGACGCCGCTCGGAGGGAGGAGTAGCAGGCAGGATGAGGAGGTGAGGAGGAGGAAAGAGGGGTACACCCTCGGCTCAGTACCCTTCCCTCCTCCTCCTCCTCAAAGCTGCGCTCTAATTCGGGGTTACAGGGGATCGGAAACGGTTTTCATTTTTTTATTATATTTTGCTTACAGAAAATAATAAAACACTTCTGTGACCCCTATTATTCGTGTTTTGAACATTTTGTTTGCTTCACTGTTTTGGGATATATATATCTATATGTATTGCATATTTTCGATATCAAACGGAGATGACATTCAAGATAACCTTGTTGAAAAGAAACCAGGTACTATAAGAAAAGAGCTTACTGCAAAGCGCCCAGTCTTGAATTAAAAGGGGGCAAACCCCTATAGCATGGGACCTCCGGCGGCGCAGCAATGAAAACAGAGAGGAATATTTCCCACAACTTGATACATGTGATTAATAATAATCTAGGGTCATGTTCCTCAGCTGGGGTGAAGCCGCTAGGCCTTCTTCTTACAAGTACCAATCACGACACTACATGTAGTACGATCCGTACAACATATTGTGTCGTGCTATTGCGTCGCAAAAGGTATTGTTACGGAGCACAGTCCCTTTGACAATGGCTACGTTTACATGAATGCGATCGTAGCGCATCGAATCGAGCAGGGACCAATCACACGCAGCCTTTCTTCTTACTTCTTCCTCTTCTTCCCAACCGCTACCAATCAAAATCGTGAAATCTCGACTCGATACGCTACGGTCGCATCCATGTAAATGCAGTCAATGCTTCGTAATGTTTGTAACTCGGCACCCTGGCATATGTAATCCGTGCAGCGAACCAACCAAATGCAATATAGAGACGGAGGATAGTTACGTTGCTCGCCTAGGGTCAGACATGAGGTAGTACCCAAGAGTCAGAAGGAGACTATTTTTAAATCTGCTTAAATCCGCTTAAATCCGCGATAATCTGCTGAAGGCTGTCTTGAATAGAATCCAAAGTCATCTGATTTGGAGCCCCTCCTCGAGAACTCACCCTGTTCACTTCGAACTCGTCCTTCTCTTTGAGCGTAGGGCACAGCCCGGGCATCACCATGGCGGAAACGAGGCCCACAACCAGACTCACTCCGATTCCCGTTGATACAGCAGCCTGAATCGCAGCAGCTGCACGGGCCATCTTCGAAGCCTTCCGCTGGGAGAAACAAGCGCCCGTCTTCGAAGCTTCAAAGTCGGGGCCGGTTACTGCAAGAGCCGAGCACCGACTCCTCCGCTCCAGGGAGTCCGGATGAACTCGCGCATTACCCGCCGTGTCGTTCACTCCGCCATGGTCGAGGTCCTCCGCCGCGGCTGTAGGCCTACTTATCAAGGTTGCGAGGCTGACGTACGATGGTACCTGACTTGCTATTGTTAAGGCGCCGGAGAGGCGTGGGACGCGCTCCATGTCGGCGCTGCTTACATGTCGGTTGCTCCGCGCTATCGCAGCTCCGTCTTCGGGTGCCCTTCTCTGGCAGCCGGCGTTTCAATGTCGAGGTCATCGCCACGCCTACCCGGATGGCACTTTTTCAAGGCGCGGATGTGTATAATCTGCCATATCGTGCGCATGACTGCAGGGGCGGAACGTGTCGCCTTTCTTCTGGTGGCTCGGGGCATGGAGGTATTATGCCGATGAGTGAGTGTTTTTCCAGAAAAAGAGTATAAACGTGAGGCATAAGCCTCTCGATTAAAATTTTTTAAAGATTCTGAAGAAAACCTTAGCGTGCTTAGTTGTTGCCGTAAGAACGTTTCAAATGTTTATAATCAGCGTTCCCTTCATTATTTCACAAGCAGTAAACGTTCGTTGAATTGAAGACGAATCTCATTTCCAACAGCATATATGTTTCGATATAGAGTGCGCTAACTCGATCTGTATTTGTACAACCCTTACCCCGTAATTAATGTATGTTATGAATCAAGGTTGCAGTTGCAGTGCATTAGCTGCGGCACCCGTTATATAGCTCGAAAAGAGGAAACATTTGAGGCCGGTCTAGTTGTCATTTTGCAAATGACATGATTTGATGGATTACTAGTACTTTCCTATTCTCAAATGCTGTTCTCACGTCGATTATCATTGTTCTTAGTAACATACACTTTGAAGATGATACTCAAACTGAATTGTAGAGTTAAAGCTTCTTACTGTTCTTTAGTATCCTTCCATTACAAAATTACTCTTTTGCGGGTATTCTTTTTTTTTTAACTACGAGTTTAATTTGACATCTTGATGTGTCCTATAACTTCATTACAGTAATGATTCCTTTAAGATCCTTTCTAACAATATTTAATATAGCTTGTTTATATCGAAACTGTATAATTTTAATATAACGTTTTTCTTTTAATTAGAATATTTTGATTATAAAAACAGGCATGACGGTTACGTGAATGCCGTTTCATATTTAATAGATCATACCCCTCACAAGGTTTAACTATGAACGTAAGGGTTAAAAAGGGAACATTTTTGTTTCTTTTTTAAGGCTATTTTTTTATGATTCCACCCGCTCTGTGCTACCGCTACCCAGTATTATATATATCCCAATGGCCTAGGTTTATGACGGTCCTAATGCTATTGCTTGCTTCTTGACCTTATGTGATGACCCGATATATCCCATAGTGTGAGCCAGAAGCTCGCAAAAGTTTACTAAGGTACCTGAACAACCACGATGAAAACTTCGTTTTGGGGGGGTTGATTCACCAAAAATAGTTAAGGTGAATTTCGGAATCCTCCTAAGAGATCAGTCTTTGAACCTAATTCGTTTCTTTTGTATTGTAGCCCACGGTTTGCCACGGGTGCGCGAGATTGCGTTACATACTCGAAGCCTGTGGGGCGCGCGCAAGCGGCGCTACCCAACACCACCTAGAATATTCAAAGCCTCCGCATCGCCTCTTCTCGCTTCATGAAACATCATCACAGTCGGATCGCGGTGACTCGGCTATTGGGTCCGAGTCCTACTTTTGACGCGCTGATTGAACACGAGCCCCGGCCGAACTCTGATGCAGCTTTCGTGCCAAATCTCAGGCCTCGATCGATCTGACTGTGATGACTGTGTGAATTCCTTCTACTTATCTAGATGGTGTTGCGCTACCCCAAGGTAAGAACGACTCTGATACTCACCTACACTCGCTATGGCCGCGGGAGCGGAACTATGTCGCTCCACGCCGTTCCTTTCTTGAGGTACTAAGCCCAGTTTTATTTTCCCTTATCCGGCATTAAATACTCAGAAGTGAAGTCAACAGCGAACGCCCCAAACGTAAAAGATCGTCTGCTCACCCCGACAATGGGTTTTGTGACTCGCCACGCAGCATGTTTGACCGCCACGAACAGCGAAGAAAATGGTGGGAACCAAGACAAAGCGTAAGGACTGGCAACGCAAGCAGATACGATTCTGGGAACGAACTCCTGACTCCGTCAGCGACGGGACCAGATTCAGAGACCGACGTAACGGCAACTGTCTAGGCGGCAGTCCAGACGGTTGTGAGAGAAGCTATCAGTGGCATGGCGCTTTTACTGACGCAGCCGGAGGTTGCTGTGCCCGTCATCGGCGCGGAGGAGACGGCGCCGGCTGATGCCTTCGACATGCTCTCAACGAGATGCCCGACGGTTGGCGCGTGGATGCTACGAACTGACAACCCTGCGGACATCTACAAATAGACAGTTGCAGGACGTCAGACAGGTTGACGTCCTGTAACACGCACACGAAGCTCGAGGACCCAGCGAACAGCAGGTAGGGTTCCTTGTTGTTGGTGGACAAAACGTGGACGGAATAGTAGGAAGAGTTCAAGCGTGCGTTTCCATCGACAGTATCGGTGCAGTGTGTGCATCGCGACATGTAAGCTTTGCGTTGCAAGCAAGGTGAGCCAATGGAGTCGTACTACTAAGGTACATTTGGAAAGCTCGCCGGCGTAACCTCAATGACGAGGCGTGCTTCGAATACATCATTACCAGACTCGGCGACGAAAACGCTATTTAAGCGGTTAGCGTGCGCACATATGAGCCCTCACAAGAATTGCTTTCATTGCTTGAACCACTTAGAAATGCGCCACAGTAGCATGGAGTCCTCGGCTTCATAGACGTTGAAGGGAGACTGTCTCCAAATTGCATTAATTTTGTCCGTGAAATTGACGAGCCGCCGGCCGGATGCAGCTCCGAGGTTCCCGGGCTGACCAAAAAGTGGCGGCACATAATATTTGCTTCTTGCTCAAAGATATGGACAAAATTTTGATTTCTCAACAGTTCAAGCACGCAGTCGGTACGCCGAAAAATGAGATCTGCTTTAAATTATTCATCTGGAGATACTGAATCTATTCTCTCAAAAAGCTGAAGGGTCTCGCAGTATCTGTTTCAGTTGCCACGACGGCCTCACACAGTGAAAGAATTGCAAACTACCATTAATGTCATCCTCTCGCTGTGGGAAAATCTGAGCCAAAACTTCGGATCCAACCACCCTCTAACTAGGCGACGGAACCAGGACCCACTGGAAAACATGTTCGGCATGATCAGATAGCAGCATGAATGCAGCGAGACGTCCTACCCTTCCAGTTTGTGGAAGGACTAAAACAGATTTTCCTCGGAAACATGTTCCAGCTTTCCCTTAAAGGGAACGGTGAATGGGACACTTCACCACAATTGGTCCGATTAAGGCGTCTCCTTGTATCCACTGCAGTCAGTTACCAGCCATGAACCATTGGATTCAATTGGCACTGAAGCTAAGAAATCGAATTGCCACTTAATGAACCAGATTACATCATTGTGGAAGCAAATGTTATTTATCGCTTTGCTGGGTACTTGGTTCAGTCGCTCCTTCAGAAAAGCTCATGCCAGCTTCATCAAAACGTTTTGAAGGCTGCAAGTGAGAACTGCACATCAGAGGCACAGTTTCATTCTCGCCTTTAAGCACACGTCCGAGGCTCAATTTTTGGTTCCTTCTCCGCCTCTTCCACTTCGTTTTTCGAGTACTTCAGGGGCTTATCACACATTGTTTTTCAGCGCGTACAGGACCACATTCTCATGCCAACAGCTGTGGAGCGCGTTTTACATATCTTGATGTCTTCCCCTGAACATCATTTTTGTACCAGGGCACTTTCTTGATTTTTATGTGAATGTGCGTTTACGGTGGCACTTGTGAAATTTAAGAATACTGAAGTTTCATGCCCCTAAACCACCTGAGCAACGGAAACGAAAAACACTTTCGTCGTAATTGTCAATGCTAAAATATTCTGCTTAGTTGAAATTCTATTACAGCTTGTATGCAATCTCGTTTCTTGGTTCTACACTTTTTAAAACGTCTCCAGACAGTAAGAATGACTTGTAGTTTTCCTTGCGCCTAGAAACCTTGCGACTAGCTAGCTGATTCATTGTTTTAGGTTAGACTTGTACTAGTGTCTGTTCGTGCATTTAAAGGTGGTACGGTGTGCACATTTCGTACTTAAAGTCCTGTAAATAGCTTAATTTCTTTTGGGCTCATGTTGCTCATTTATTTAATGTAAATATTTAGTATTTCAAATTTTGCAAACAACCTGACACCTACTTTTTTTAGCTAGGGGTACTTGTACATACTTGTAACTGAAAAATTTTGTCAGTAAATGGTTTTATGTTTTAAACTCGTGCCATTCATTTGTTTGGTGTACATTTTGGCTCTTAAAACATTTTAAATAAGCTGATGCCTCTCTGTAGCTCGGGGTTTTAGCAATTGCCTCTATAAGTAACTTTGTAATTGCTTTTACGTGTAATTTCATTTGGTGTACATATTTTTCTCTTAACATCGTGTGCGAAGGTCCATTTGTGTCCGTATTAAGGAGCTGGAGCTTCAAGTTTGCTTTTTGACATGTGTGAATATTGTAAATTTTTAATTGACTGCTGTGAGCTGGGGTTTAAACTTGTGTGTCTGGCATTTTGAATATTTCTTTGTTTAATATCTTGCAAAACGCATTAAACAACCGAGAAAAATTTGAAAGGCATTCAGGCAACATCTGTTATGCTATGCAGTTTTATATATTTATTGCTATTCCTGAATCTCACATGAAGTTACCTTACTACTTGTCCAGCTCTTATCGTAATGTGTTCTGGCAAGTCTATGAACGATTGATTTGTAGAATGTGTCAAATTAAATGCATCCCAATGTTCTTCCAAATATATCTCATTGCATC